CTTATAGAGTTTTTCCTTTGTTGAATTAAATAAGTCAATATTATCAATTTTTGCGAGAATTTTACTCTCCCGCTTACAAGCTTTTTTTGCTTGTGACCATTGTTTACTGATGTCAAATTCCTTGAACTCATCTACCGTGGTAGATGCTTGTAAGGCAACTGCAAAACAAAGGAAACTTACTAAAGGACTAGTATCGATTTTTTACACTACCAAGTTCTACGTAAGCTTCTTTTAATTTCTAGTTTACAAAACGAGATTACCATTTGCCTCAAGCCTCTGTTTCAAAGCGAGGCTAAGATCGAAGTTATTGATATGAAAATTATCTGTTTTACTCTCATGCGAATAAAATTCCTTTTCGTAAAAAGGTTTCGCACTTAGCCTCGTTTTGAAGCGAGAATTTTTGGAACTCGGAAATGGCCAATTTATCATTCCTTGATAGCTGCGAGTCTTACGATGAGTTTGGGCAAAAATACTCCACTGTAATATGTAAAATGATATAGCTATGAAACTAAATGAGCTTTTATTTGACTGCTATCATTGCATATCATTGAAGGTTACGTCTTCGATAGGTTCATTAAAACCTAAGCATAGGTTGAAAGTCGAAAAAAACAAACATCCAAAAACCACAATTTGAAACGTTGATTAGAATCAGTTTTAAGTTGTTTGAACATTTGTTTTTATCCCGTACTTGGTGACTGCGGAGTTCGTTTTTTTACCATGTGCTTGGTCGGACAAGCTTGTTGCATTTTACTCGTCAAATTTGCCTTCTAAATGTGTGAAACCCCAGTACATTACATCATTATCATCCAGATGAATATAGCCTAGTTAGTCGGACGGACTTCAGTGATCTTCACCGACAGCGACTGGCGTTTCCCCAGCCTTTCTTTGCGGAAGCCATCATTACAGTCGCTTATATCATTACTCAATGGCTCAAACCATTTACATAAACTTTTTGTGTTTAGTAGAAGGAACTGGAATTTGTATAACTTATGGTGTTTTAATTTCTCAGATTAGTGTTAAAAGGATCCTATATCACCATGGTTATTCAACCTACTTATTTGCAATTGCTAGCTCAGAAACTCTAGGAAAATGGGTACAAGTTTTGGGCTCAGTGAGCTCTGGGATCGTTTGGGTAGACAAGCGTTACGTACTTATGATTAGTCGATGGTATTCAACGGAACCATTAACCAATCATATTTAAAGCTTGTCAACTCAAACGAACCCAGTAATCGTTGCGCCGAAAGCTTGTACCCATTCTCCTTATAGTTTTCTGGAGTGGGAAACAGTCTCATAGTGACTTTGGAAACAACTTCTGCGCAGTCACTCGCAAATAAACGTCTCTACTCATTGTCCTGGGTTCCAAACATATACAACTGAAACAGTTTCTTAAGCCAATCGACCATTTTCGATATATTAAATTCATTCTTGACTCCGAGGCTTGGGGGAATAAAATAAAAGAAAATCATCTTGACGCTCAGTAATAAATAATACATGTCTTCTGTTTTATTTCCCAAGCCGCGGAGCCAAGTATGAATAATGGTCTATTGATCTCAATTCAGTTGATTTGGGGACTTTCCAAAACAAGTTGGCAAGTGACTCATTTATTGGTCGAAAAATAATAATGATAAACCCCAAACAGGTAAATTTCTGCTTCGATCGACCGGGATTAAAATTATCTAGTTGTTTAATTAAATCATTTCTGAAAATGTCAGCCATCATATAACATCAATCTACTGTGTTTTTCCCACGCATGCCACAAAACACGTTATTGAAAACAAACTGAACATGGTGTGTTATAAAAAGCCACGGCACAAGCAGGATTAAAAAATGGACGGATCGAGACTACTGTTAATTGTTAAATGGACTAAAAGAGTTTTTTGACTTTTAGTGATTAGAAGGCGGAATTGAAATTAAAACGCTACGGAAATTTTCAATACTTTATTAAATGTGTTGACCATGAAAAGTAAATAGTGCTAAACAAACGAAAAGATTAGGCTTAGCGATACAAAACTGAAGACAAATCAAAACATGGGGATAAAACTGAGACTTGTGAAAAAGGGTCCCATTTTCTGAGTGGATATGTTTGGGGACTACATCGGCTAAAATGGCTGCCGTTTTTTTCTGGGGAAGGAGAGGAAAAAACCCGGCCAAAATGACTAGAGAAACAACGATTTAAGCCGACAACAATCTTTTCCTTGATCGCGGAGGCCCGCTGTGATTAACGATAAAATATTACACTTAACGCAAAAGTAGAAACTCTAACAGAAACTGCGACGAGTCTTATAATAATCTCTTTAAGATAAAATATTCAAACCCAAGCTAGGAAGAATGCTAGAAGCCTCCCTTGATGTGTAAGAGTCATTAAAGAGCACTCAAGAATCGAAAACATAGTAGGCAACTAAGACTACTCAAAAGTAGCAGTCAATAAAAGGCTATTAAATTATTGAAATAACGAGGATCATTAGGTTATTGAGGTACTGAGCTCTTGCAACCAGTTCAACAATGATAGAATGAGAAATGCAGTCCGGCAGCACTGCGCCATCCCTGGTCTGAAGCCATCTATCCTGGAAAGTAGCTAACTTGCGGGCCAAGAGGATAGAATAGAACCAAATTTCATTGCCTCAGTATTGTAATAAAAACCTGCCTTTTGTGATGAGTCATGAAGTTATATTTTTATGCTTTAGTCTCAAAACAAGATAACTGCGAACCCTCAATCACAGTATTAGACCAGAACAAATTTAAACGGGGGAGACAATCGATAAGTCACAAAGACAGATAAATTGTACCATCTGATAACTTGTATTATCAAGAGTTAAATTTACGCCACAAAAATCAAGATTGAAAGTGAAAGAATGCCTTACCTTGGGAAATAAAAAGCAACAAAGCACAAATGTCGGTTGATGAGAGCCCTTCCTTTCGTTGCGCCATTGTCTGTGTACGTCCCAACATCAGCCGAAACATAAACGCGTCAGTGTCTTGTCATTCCCAAAACAGCTGCCTGTTTCAAATGACGATCATTTTAAGAACGAGTGTAACATCTAAGTAATACAATCTTCAAAGCTCCTAAGCTGCTTAAAAAGAGGAGATTATGTATGCTTGCTTTGTCTGAAGACCTCTCTGGTAAACAAGAATGATTGCACGGCTGCTTGGACGCGGTTAGGGGTTTTCGCGCGCTTGATAACAAAGAAAGTGCTAAAAGTCCATTCAATGTAGTATTGTGGTTTATATTAGCATATTTATAACCTCTATTTTAAAGGGTGACACCAATTACTACGAAAAGTATTCTCCCTAGTGGCCCTCTAAAAACAAAATTGATAATAATAAAGTAAAACAATCATGATAAAAAGCCTATTTACAAATAGTGGTTATAACAAAAAATTTTTAAAATTCTAGTATTCTCCCTAATGGCGCTCTAAAAACAAAACTGATGATAATAAAATTACAACAATCATGATAAAAAGCCTATTTACAACTAATGATTATAATAAAAGATCTTAAAAATTCTAGAGATGTTAAAAACGGAAGTGAATACATTGGTAAGAAAAGGGAATCCAATCTACAATGATATTAAAAAAATCAGAATAACTTTTTAACTTTAAAATTGTTCACCGTAGTGTTGTCTTCATCAAGCTAAAGGAGGTGGTTGGTTCTAAGTTAAGAGTATTTGCCTCTTTTATAGAGGAATAGAAGAATGTGGGACAGTACAAAAGATTCTTATCTTTATATTGGATTAGTTAAACGTTTTTGAACTGTTGTTACTCGGCACTTTACGTTAGGACGATAATTCACCACTAATCGAAGTCGTAGGCCGCTAATAAAGATGACTTGAGTAATTCCGCTTGCCACTAAGTTATAAAAGCAAATGCAATTTGCCTCGTGGAAAGTCTCGACCTGTCAACTATATATCAATTATCTTAACTATTATTTATGCCAGTCTTATCATTACCGTCAACGCTCCGGCTCCACAAATTAGAAGAAAATATGTTATTGATTGGTATCTATAAAGACTTAACTTGAAAAAAAGTCGTTAATTTCATATTTTGATCAAAGAAGTTATTTTTTAAATCTGATTGTATCGTAGTGTTAGTTCTGTTATACTTGGTTTTATATATTTTGAGTACAGTCAAACTCCGTCAATACGGACACTGAATGGGCCATAGAAAGTGTCCATATTAATGGGGTGTCGGGTTGAACTAATTAACAATTAATGAATGAGGCTGAGTATCTTATGAAGAATTATGGAGATCGAGGAGAGTGTTATCCGTCGAGGACGTAGGCCGAGGTGGATAACACCTTCCGAGATCTCCATAATTCTGCATATGATACGAAAGCCGAATTCAATAATTGTTTTATTATTCATTCAAAATAATTCCTAGTTTAAAAACAAAGCTAAAACATGCTTACCTCCATCGATGTTAAGTTCACCTTCGATAGTGCCCGTTTAGGGTTTTTCAGCTCCGCAAATGTTCTCTAAATAGCAAATGTCGCCCATCGAGTTGTGTTCTGGCTGTTCTTGCCTTGTTTTAAGCTATAATTTCGCCTAGTTCTTACTCTTGAAACGAGTGAAATGTCCGCCTTTTTTTTTTTTCACAGCCAAAACAACTCAACCTCGTCCCCAGGTCTTCTTGGTTAACGGTGCCTTAACCCGCAAGAACGCTGCATTTTTGACGTCATTTCCTCGTTAAACACAAAATTCTTCCAAATTTGGTCATCAGTAACTGGTTATGGTGAATTATGCGTGTGCTTTTAGCCAATCAGAATTGGGGAAATACTTTTGAATGAATAATAAGAGAAAATGTAAGGGTTTTCTTTCCCGGGGACTTTCTTTCCCTCCTAATAACGGGGTGTCCGTTATTAGGAGGAGCTGAGCGCCTGTTACAGTCAAGGACTCTCCTTACGTATATACACCTATATGATGCGGTCGACAGCTTTCTGATGACGGAGAGTCAGTATCTTTCGGCCTAAAGCTAGGAATCTTCAAACATGTAGTCCTTGCCTCCTTAAAATGGGAAACTCTCCAATGTGGTAACCTGAGATCAGGCCCAATTTTAGCAGCTTCCATATATTCTCTCTTAAGAGGTCGCGCTAAAATTGGGCCTGATACAAAGTCTCTCACGCTTTTGCTGCTGCGGCCAGATTTTAGCCGCAACGCTGATTGGTCGTTTAAACAATGCCAGACGATCTGATTGGCTGTTGTTCGTTTCGCCTTCCCCGCCAGAATTTTATTTGTCAAGCGAAAAGAAAATAGAGCCTGATCTCAGGTTACTAATGCGGACCTCTGATGCTCTTTATAAGGAGGTTTCATTGTGGAGCCGATAATCGTAGAAATGGGACGAGTCATCTCAGTCCTTTGTAACAAACTCTAAGTCCTCAGCAAGAGACTGAGATTAATCGGACAGAGAGGGAAACTTCGGCCCGGCTCAAACGTCGAACTTTACATGTGCCGATCCGGGATAAGTGAAATTTTACTGAAGTTATTTTTAGAAGTTGTAATTGAACGGGAGTCTAATTCCTGAGAAGTCTGCACATTTTAATAGATTATTTGAAACGTCATCAAGTCCACGCGACTGCCTCGAGGCAAAGGATGCAGAACATTGTGATGGCAACTGTTGAGTTCTATTTTGGAAACTAGTTAAAAATTAAAACCTTAAAATCTTGCCAATAGCCAGATATGATAGCTTACGTTAGGAGGTCACGTGCTCATATTGCACATTATAAAAGGCCAATGCTTTCTTCATTATTACTGATACAAGTTTCCACCGTTTTTGTATATCAAATGCTTCTTTTAAAACTACGTAATCAATGAGGCTTTAATTCAATCAAACGAAAAAGGAAACTTTCGTCTTACATTTATCAGAACCGAGATAACAAAGGTAAAAAAAAATGCTGTTTGCAGGAGTAGAAAAGAATGACACTGCAATCAAAGGTGTTTCCAACAACGCACTTTTTTCCATACAGTGTGCCTTACATGTGCACGGTAGTCGGATAAAATAAAATTTATCGAGAGAGGATGGGGAAGGAGTGAATTTGTGGTAATCAGTTACTTTTTAAACCGTACGTTACAAGCGAAGGAAATCACTGCTGCGCCCAATTTCTGACGAAATATGTAATAGAGCGTTTTTTCATAAGTGTTCTCATAGTCATAGCATGGATTTCTATTTCAACTTAAATTTGAAACATTTTAAGTGAAGGAGGTTTGCGGTATAAAGCGCCATGTCTAATCTCAACCTAGTATGATATTCGTAGGTCGCAATTCTCTGATTCATTTTCAGAATCGGAACTTCCAAACTCCTTGGGTAGAAAAAGTGCATAGTTCTCATTTTTTTTCCTGTTAGGGGCTTTGAGGAGTTTCATTATTCGAATCGATCTAGGAAAATTTATAGACTTTTCTTACACATATCAAAATCTCCTCGAAGTTATTAATAGCAGTCATTTTTCATGACTTTCAATTTTTGATAGTATCCTGCTACACCTCTGATGAGGAAACAAGGCCGTTTCAAGTATACACTAAAGTAAGAATAAAATATTTCTTAAGAAAATACTTGGCTCTATTTCACATGGATGCATTTAGTTTCCTCCTTAGTATTTAATTCTTATTTCTTCCAAAAGATTATTAACGTAAATTATCGTTTCCACTTAAAAAACATATCAACATCTAGCTGGATGGCCTTGAGTCCCCTGCTGGCGTTCAGACTATCTTAAGTGAATCGATGACTAACGAAAACCAAAATATCAGATTGAAAGTGAGATAAATTTGCTGATTTTAATGAGGCGAAAAACTGCTGATTGCAGTTACAATACAAGCCGCGAATTTACATGAAGGTGAAATTGTGCAATTTACGTGAAATTGAAAGAGCGGGTTACTTCATGTTTATGTATAATAAGCCCTATGTTCTTCCAGATAGTAAAATTATGAACTTACCGTTTCCGCAAACCGGCTTCACTTAAAGAAAATGGATTCTCCTTCAGAAAAGGTAGAGAATCTATGTGCTATTACTCTGATCTGTCGGTCGGAGCCAATCATATCGTTCTTAATCACACTGGACTTTTTGACCCGAAAAGGACAAGCATTAGCCGATTGTTTGCGCAAGCAAACATTAAAAATTTGTTTCATTTCGCATGAGTTTAGCAACAAAGCGGCAGGGCTCGCTATCCAAGAATACAAAACTGCAGCCGTTTTGTAACTGAAGATATCGTTCAAATTCAAACGTAATCACTAAACACTATCAAGCGACATGTTTTAGCTGGCATAGTACATGCAATGAAGGACAAACCAAATTGTTACAATATTGCGACAATATCTTGGAAATTCATTTTAAGCTGTCTTCAGTTCCAAAGACAGCTGTTGCATAAGTTATGTCTTGTCCAAGTGTCTGAAATGAGTTAAAAGTCGTCTCATGTAAAGAACATTAATAATGAAGCAACCGGTGACGATATTATTCATTGCTGCCGAGTTGGCTTGTTTTTTAAATATCTTCGAGAAAAATAAGGAAAAAAAGTGAATTTGGTGGTAGAAAAAATTATTTTGAAAAAATAATTCTGTAAATTATGAGCACTATGATCTGGAAGAAAAATATTTTACGGACCAAAAACTCGCCTTTTTTACGGTGTTTACAGAATTTAATTGCATTCAAGTCCGTCTCAAATAAAGCACTGGTAATTAAATTGTCCATTATTGTGTCAACACACCTAAGTTTTGAAGGCCTATAGATAATCAGAATGTACTCAGAGAGGCTACCGTAACTGTTATCATAAATTATTTAAATCTTTATTTGAACCATTTTTTTTCTGGTCTAGCAAAGATATGACTTTTTTTTAATAAACACAACAAGTTCTCGGCTTCCCCAAAATTTCTTGGACGAGAGAAATTTGCCAAAAAAAACAGGGTTTTTGATAATGTAGAGGAGCCATTTGCTCAATGCCCCAAAAAAGTCGAAATTTTAAAGAGGTTTATTGGCCATTTTTCTCGCCGCAGTCCTCAGCCAGTATCGTGTGTTAAAATAGTTGCCTGAGCGGTTGAAAATAACTACCTACAGGATCATGTTCTGTTTTTTCGTCAGTACTCCCTTTTGCGAAACAAAGGCAATTTGTTACTCTTCTTTGCTTCTCCCTAGCTTGTTTTAATAAGTTGTTATGAAAAATCTATCACAAGTCGACTTATTATTAATTTTCGAGCTGAGAACAGAAATTTGGAATTAATATACCTGAGACAAGCTGGCACTGAAAAATACTGAAATACGTATAAATTACTTAACATAATCACAACAATGGGATATTAATTTTATCGTCAGCAGACAACCTGGCTTTTCGGTTTGAGCTTATTGATTGGTATGACATTGTACTTATAAACGAAAAATATAATCTATTGGCTTTTCTCAAAATTAAAGATAAAATCCTCAGTAATCATATAACGTAGCTAGACTAAAACCGAAACAATCCGTTTAAGGGGAAATAGTTGTTCGAGGGCACAAATTAAAATAAGGTAGTCGTTTACCATCTACGTAAAGGAATAATTCGGAAACAAGAGTATTAACGTAAAATTTTTAAGGGTCTGAAATGATCAAGCTTTTAAACAAAATAAAAGGAATGTTAATGTATATAATGTATATGTATAGAGTGTATGAAGTTTATTCAGTTATTGAATAAACAATGTGTAGTGGAGAAACGAGTCAGAGTACGCAGATGTACGAGTCTTAACTTCAGCACAATAAACTAGTTTCGAGTATAATGACCTTAATATTAGTAAAAGAAGGAAACAACTTTAGGCTAGTTGTGAACAAATTAAGCTAGACCGAGACAAATTTTCAATTTCTGTTTCTAGCTAAAAGGGTTAAAGATGTTATATAAATGCAAATGGAGCCAACCATCCTTTTCATCACAAAACCAGACTGATAAAAAATTATTTGCTTCTAATAAGTGATAACAATTCGTCGCCTTTTAACTGCAATAATTTCTTTCTTATTTTCTTTTAAGCCAGAAATAGTTTGAGAACAGGACGAAGTTAAATAATACTCATACTGCCGCCTCTTAGTCTAAAGAAACGTTAAACGGGAAAAATTTTCTCTAGTTAAAATCTGCAGTAATTAGTCATACGAGTATCAAAAGCTAATCAACCAAATATAATCCAAGCTTAAACAAAGAAAACTAGTGTTTGTGTAAAAAAACGTAATGTGCGCATGCAGCTACCGTGACTCAGTGAGAAAAGTAAGGGCCAAGTGAAGGTAATCAATGAGTTACCCACAGTACTAGATTCCATTATCTTGGTTAATACTACTACCCAGAGAGAACCAAAGCGGGAAAGCACAAGTTAAAGCACAAGATAAGCACAGTTAAACTTTTTTCCACACTTTGTTCAAGTTGAGCATCTCACTAAACGTCAAGACCCAAGTTGTCAGTGAAAAACATGAAAATGCAGCTGGTTTTTTTCATTTTAATATGATACTTAAAGATATTTCATCCCAGTATCTAACAATACGAGCTTAAACTCAACTTTTACAAGCGATTCGTATTGAGCATCAGAAAAGTACCTCATTCAAGTCCAGCACGACACTTAGTTCAGTGAGAGGTACAGGATTTTGCCGGCTTCTAACTCAAAAGTTGCAAATTATCATGATTAAGTTTGCATGTAGGTGTAAACGTTTTAAGGAGTGAATTTCTAATCATTGAATTCAAGTTTATCACTGTTTCCTAGATTAATTTAGTGAAGGAACTAAGTCAGCCCATACAAGAAGCAGAGACATGTCATATGTCAGAAGAACTGCATTTTTTCAGCTTCTCCTCTTTCAAGCAACTTGGAAGGTTAGCCTTGGTAAGTTGTTAATTTTAATGGATCAAACACGAGAAAGAGTGTTTTATCTAATATCTAAACACAGAGAAATAAAAAAGACAAGCAAAAATCAGGAAAAAAAAAACAACAACCTTTTGGGCGTTTGCTCTATTTTCTTACAAAAATACCTGATTCTGGGATAAAATTAATGTGAACTTTAGATAATGATTCCAG